CTGTGCCCGGCCAACTTCAATTCATTCCCCAGAGCCCCTTGCACCAACCTTAGGGTCCCCTCTACCCTCCAACAGGGTTTGCATCTTAGTCGGTCGGAAATCTTACTGTGGTGTGTCCCGAGAGTCAGTGCGTCAGGGCTGGCAATACCTTAAAATAATCGCTTTTAAATAGCTGGAAAAGGGAAGAAGAACATGTAGCAGAGACTTCCTGGTGGCATGCCTGGGAAGAAACAAGCTGGCGCTAGGACAGTCTTGACCGTACATGACATACCCATGCTGCTGCCAGGCCAATATAGTCTCAATGAGGGAGCTTTTCGTGTATGGTTGTAGCAGAAATAGCTTTCCCAGAGCCTCCTCTCTCTCAGGGCCAGGGTTCCATCTTTTGGATTAACAGCATCTCCAGCTGCACTGGAAACGAACTCGTACATTCGGGGAGCGATGGAGCTTTCAAGAGAAATTTTCCAAAGGAAGGGGAGAAGCTCGTGTGAGTGCGAACAGTTTTTGGGCAAACACACAAAAAGCAACTGCCTGGGTAAATGTTGCAGGTGCAACTCCTCGTGGGCGCCAACCTTTGGAAATCTTCCCTCGGCTGTTTTGCAGTTGACTAAACTAAAACAAAGAGGTTAGATGCATAGATGAGGCTGTATTTCTGCCTTTACCTTTGATAGATTAAAGCTGGGAATATGAACTTTGCATTTGCTTCCTGCTTTGCTCCCAGGTCGCCATAAAAAGACCATCTAGATATCATAAAAACAAATGATGAGTCTGTAATGCAATCAGTCCCCTTCTCACTCAGCTATAAGGCATTTTCCAGGAAGGTCACCGAACAAAAGTGAGACGGCCCCTGACTGATCCTACCTGTAGGACTTCAGAGTGCATCTCTGTTTAATGCATGCTGAAAACGAAGGTTAACCAGCCACATTGTATTAGGCGTTCACAGAGAACGTGCTGGCTTGAAGGGACACATTTAGCACACTGAGTGGGTCCACGACTCCCTACCGCGTAGTCACTGAGGCATTAATACTACAGGAGGACGTTGGAATCTGGGAATCTGTCGGCACCGCTTGGTTTGCAAGCGTTACGCTGACACTGGGAGCTATAAACAGCAGAAGAAACTGCTTCTGCAGCCAACCGCAAATGACCATACAAATAGAAAAATGTGATAGGAAAAGGGAGAAAGCAACAACAATGACTCGAAATGCAAAGGAGTTCCCAGAAAGTGCTGGCTCTCAGCACTCTGCCTGGGGTGGGAAGCTGGAAGTTTCCCCGAATAATACATGAAAAGGACCCCTCCCTCCAAACATGTTTCCTAATCCCCCATCAGACGAGGGCCGTTTGCTACAGCGTGTTCCTCTATCAATTTGTCCAATGAAGGATCTGCGGTCACGAGGGTTTTGAAAAACTGTAAGCACACAGCGTCTGTGCCCCTTCACCAAAATGCAGCCTGGGACATGCCAGCCAAAACCAAGTAACCATGTCCTCGCGCACGTACATGTCAGTAATATATCCGCAGCTAAATTTTCAAAAGTGCAATCAGCTGCTTAACTCAGTGTTATATAAAAACCAGGTGTGGAACTGTTTGCAGTCAGAAAACTGTCAAGGAAAACACAGACTGAAGGAAGGCCCTGGTGGAAAATCAAAACCTTGATGCTCTTATGGAGATGTTTTAAAAAGCAGAACGAGACTGCAAATTCTCTTTGGAAAAGCTAGCGTGGGGGAAAGGTCTGTGAGGTGGTACGTGTATTATAGGCTGGGGCAGTTTCTGGCCTTCAAGGACTGAGGTGAAAGGGGAAGATGGCTAGAAGCACTGAAATACATGTTCTCTGGATTTGCAGTATCCACTGGGGAGGCAGAGCATCATTTGTTACATCCTCTCCAGGGGATCAGCAATAAAACAGTCTGTTGTACTTCCAGCTGCATTGACCCCAAAGTCTCTTGGCCTTGGGCAACACTGATGAGCTTGCTATACAAGAGCAAAGCAAATTACACAGTAAAATTGGTCCCTCTTGTTGACCACCTCACTAGAGGAGCTAGGAACCAATTATTCACTCAGCCCTAAAGGTGATCTCTTTGTGAAAGGGCTAAGTCACGTTGGCAGGGAGTGGATGGGAATAACTCACCTTGCCACTGACGGTGATGGGGGCACTTAAGAGAACTTCAGCATCCAGAGAGTTCACAAACAGTCCCATTTACAAATGATAAACTCACGTAAATGAGACAAGTCAAACCCCAACCAGTCCTGGGCCAACGTGGGCCGACTCTGGGGTGATGCAGGTACAAAACCAATGCGGTACTGAAATCTCTGCACTTAGCAGCAGGCCTTTCATTCATGCTCTGCTGTGCAAATGGGGGAGGCTGAGTCCCTTCCATGTGTCCTTACTGTCTTTAGGTTCTGGCACTGTCTGAAGAAGAAAGCCATTTCAAGAAACTACTGACTTGTGGGAGGTAACCGGCCTCTGAAAGTACAGCTGCCTGGGAGGGTGTGGGATGAGATTTTGGTTTGCTTTGCTTTGCTTTCCCAAGTGAATTCAGCACTCAAGATATAAGTGTCAAGACTGACAGAAGTGGGAACCGAAGTTTTGTGCTAAAGGAACGGAGGGCCTGTCTGCACCATTAAAGTGCCAGGCTAGGGAGCTCTGCACAGCACGTCCAAGCCATGCGCGTTCGCTCCGAAAGAGATGTAAAGTAAAGTAGCGACCCTTAGTGCAACGTGGAGCGCCTGCCAAAAAGCTCACCATCTCGGGCATGCTCGTGCCCAGTATTGCACAAAAAGGTAGATAATGCAACATGTATTTTGGGGTGAAGCGTGCATGGGACAGACGATGCGCACTTCACCGAGGCATCCCCTGGTCCCTTGATGGTATAGGCATGACGGACCTGACAACGGGAGCATCCTCAGGCCTCTCTACTGCTACTGCCAGCGTTGATACCAACCGGGGCCTGAACCCAGCTCAGACCCCAGCTCTCCAGACTTCTGAGGTGGTTTGCACTGGACAGCTTGAGCACTTCTCTAGCTTTACTTTGACCCTGGCTTTTTGCCCTGTCCAGTTGAACGGGATGCTCATTACACGAAGAGCTGTCACTGACAAAAGGCTACATTCCCCGAGTGGATCTGACAAGCAAATGAGAGGTGCCCTGGGTTTCAACTACGACCAAGTCTGCCTTTGCCTACAGACAACTGTAGGTTTTAGAGAAAGCATAGGTCAAAGGGCATCCATGCGTGCTCCCAACAGAAGGTGATTAGTGCCTGCGAATGCTGCCTGACAGACAGGCCAAGGCTTCTCTTTGTACAAATACCAGTTACAGCCAAAGTGCTGTCCTGCCAACGGAGCTGACCTGGAGAAGCCATCACGAGGGGTGGGAAGAGAGTTCGGTCTCCGCGGCCCATTAAATATGCAGACTTTTAGCTGAAGCTGCCAAGAAGAGCTCTGCCGTGTGCCAATTTCTTTTTGCGAGGAAGACACCTGCTCATTGGGAACTGGACTGATTCCCATCAAACTCACTTCAGACAGGCTCCCAAACAACCCTTCCAGGGAAACAACATTCAAACCTATCAGCCTGGGCTGGATGCAATGCATAGGTAAAAGGCTCTGCAGCCCCCTCACCAAACCGGGGCTCCAAAACTAACAGAGAAAGGAAGCAATTCCCAGTGGTGCATTGGGTTGGTTGCCCTGTAGCTCATCTTAGCTACAGCAGATGATAACAATGAAGCCGGGGAGAGCAAGAAACTAAGCAGAGATCAACACGACTCAGATTGCTCAAGGCATGAAATGCCATCAACTGGGCTACACAAGCAAGAGGGTGCACAATGAACCATGCAGTGGTGCTTACCTGCTCATGGTACTCAATCCCCATGCTGAGGGTGTTGATCAGGATGGCGATCATGATCCCGCGCCCAAAGTACTTGCTGTCTACAATCTTCCTGAACGTTTCGCACACTACGCTCCAGAACACCAAGAACCCGCTCATTTTCTTGCCCCTGACTTCCCCTCGCTGAGGGTCCCGCTGGTCACTGTAGCGGGCGTCCTGAGTGAATTCATACACCCCCTCACTGTCCGAGTCCACCGTCTCGTTGTCCATGGGCTCCAGGTCATTAGCCAGGGTCTTGATGCAGTAGGGGCAGCTGTCGGGGTTGCAGGAGCCACTGTCCAGTTTCCCACACTGGCTAGTAATCTTGCAAGAGCTCTGACAGGCGCCTGGAATGGGAACAAGCCAAGGTGAGATATACATGCTCCCTGGATGCAGGGCCAGGGAAGCTAAGGGGTCAAATGAAGGGAACTCCTCATTCCTCTTATTTTATGCGACAAATGCCATCTAGCTCCTCAGGGTAAAGGCTGACAGTGGTCTGCCATGCCTCCGTGCCGGAAGCCTGCATGTACGCCATAGGGAAGTTACATGTTTTTCTCCCATAAACCATGCACAGGGTGGAAATTTCTTATCGACCTCAGGGGATGCCCAGTTTCCTCTCTCCCCTTCCTGGAACATTTTGCTCTGTTTTCTATTAGCAATAGTGTTAATTCTCAGCTCATTTACCAAACGCACAAGCCAGCCTCTGTCTACTCTCCTGGTCTGGGGCTGTTTGCTCCTCAGAGCAGGAATTGTCTTCCTCAGGTGTTGAGAAAGGACCTAACACCTAGTGACCCCAAGGCAAACAAATAATACAGTATAATCCCTGGCCTGAGGGCCTTCCAATGAAAAGAAGTATCCTCCATTAGATACCAGGGCCTTCGAGTTCCCCCATTCTGCGTGCCCCGAGCTGCTGCAGTGGGTTAAACATGATCATGCAGGCCCATGTTTCTTGCCTTTAGATACTAAGAGGATTTCTGTTGCCCACAGTCAGACATATTCACCAGCCAAGGATTCCTCACCACCTCATTATACCTTTGGCCATTAAGGCTAACAGAAAGCAATCAGCTCCTCCAGCACCTGGTATGTTAGGCGTTGTAATTAGAGTGCAGCAGCCAATGAGCTGCTTTCATATTCCTGCTGTTTGCTGACACTTCACAATTACCAGCTTTCCCCTAAGCGCACAGCTCAAATTGCTTGGCACAATGGCAGTTCCCAGCTGACAGATGGTCCCGTTGGTTCGTGATCTGAACAGGGTAGTCTCTTACAAATGCCATCTGGCTGCAGGTGGCAGGGAGGGAGGGTGGGTGTTGCAAAAGTGTGCTCTTGACCGATAC